TAGAAAATTTTACACCGTCATATTCGTTGTTTCTTTTGAAATATTTTTCGGCTGTGTGTTTTATGCTCGACGAGGACTTAAGATGCCCTTTAAGTATAATGTGGCTTAAGATTTCGGCTTCTTATGAGACTGAATTTGAATTGTAGGCAAAGACTGCTACATTAGTATGATTTTGGGACTTGAAAGATAGAAGAATGCAAGTTCTTTCCGATCTTGCAATTAGCTATTCATACTTTGCTTTTGATGTTGAAATTGAAAGAAGATGACAAAGTTGTCACTCTCTGAGAAATGTTCGAGTGTGACAGTCAAACCGTTACGTGCAAACAACCGCTATGTACAGTTGGTGCCCGATGACAGAATTGGTTCCCGATTTGATGCCAACACTGTAGACTGCCTGAGCTGCCTCGCACTAATCTAGGTTACGAAAAGTGAAATTTGAACTTAATTGCTACGCGTTTTGATAGGATATTTTTGGCAAATCCATCAAGAAAATTGTTATCTTATTTTAATGGGGACAATCAAAGATTCGATTGGACGTAAGATTAACAAACTTAGCGTTGAATACACTGCCATATTTAATGTAAATTCATATTCACAACTGATAGTTAGAATGGAATCTATCATACTACACGTGAAATTTAATCTTGACTACTACGAGCTTTGACAGGATGTTTCTAGCAAATTAATCGTGAAAATTGTTATCTTGTGGGGACAATCAACGATTGAATTGGAGATAAAATCACAAACTTAGAGTCAAATACACCACCATACTTAATCTAAATTCACATTGGCAACCGTTATTTAGAGTTAACTACCATATTATCACGCTTATATTCGTCAATGCTTGTCAATCACAAAAATTGAACTCAAGGACCTCCTATTAAAGAAGGTAAACTGTCCTATTAATTAATAAACATACCTAACTCAGCCCAAATTATTGTTAGATCCAGGAGCAGCGAACCCAACAAGATATCAACTTCCCATTAAACAAGAAGGCAAAACGAACACGGTGGTAGAACAAAATTCTAGTGCTACAATTTCTCCCCAATCTGCCCCCCCCATGAAACCGCAGATCCCAGAACTCTTCTCATTCATCTTTTACTCCAAGAAAACCCATGCGAAAAGGTTCATACAAGTCTTTCTCAATAATTTGTAAGAAAACAGAAGAACATAATTAAGGGTTTCCAAATTAAGAAAACCATCCAAAAATATGCCGTACATAAATTCAGAATTAAAAAGTAAGAAAACCCAAGCAAAAGAATGAACAAGAGATCCCCAAGAGAGAATTGTTCCAAGACGCATTCATTATAAATATCCGAATACCAAACAGTAGCTACCATCCAAAATATCCAAACTTAAAACTAGAAAAGTTTAAAAGAAAATATAAAAATTACTCCTTAACAAGGTGGGGTAAAAATAAACTACTGCTGGTTGGGCGGGTGGGGTTAAAACTTCAAACTTAACACTCCAAAACTTAATCGACTTCCTCCATCTTGCTGCCCTCTGCATCGGCATCAGCGTCCTCCAATGGTGGCATCTCAGCATCGCCCTCGACGGCATCATCATCAATGCTCAGTCCGAGCTTCAACATCCTGTGGATCCTGTTGCCGAAGGTGTTGGGGTCGTCGAGGCTGAACCCGGAGGTAAGAAGAGCAGTCTCAAACAGGAGGAGGACAAGGTCCTTCACCGACTTGTCGTTCTTGTCTGCGTCAGACCTCTTCCTGAGCTCCTCCATGATTGGGTTCTCTGGGTTGATCTCCATGGTCTTCTTGGAAGACATGTATCCAGCCATACTGTTATCCCTCAAAGCCTGAGCCTTCATGATTCTTTCCATATTAGCAGTCCAGCCATACTCGCCGGTCACCAAACAGCAGGGAGAATCGACCACACGGTCAGACACAACCACCTTCTCGACTCTGTCGCCCAAGACATCCTTTACGACCTTGCAGAGTCCCTCAAACTTCTCCTTGAGCTCTTCCTTCTTCTTGGCCTCGTCTTCACTCTCGTCAAGCTTCAAACCTTCTTTGGTGGCTGAGACAAGCTTCTTGCCCTCGAACTCCTTGAGCTGACCAATAGCATACTCATCAATGGCATCAACCATGAAGAGAACCTCAAATCCCTTCTTCTTCAGCTTCTCGAGGAATGGAGAGTTCTCGACAGCCTTCTTGCTCTCACCAGTAATATAGTAGATGTCTTGCTGGCCCTCCTTCATCCTTGTAACATAGTCCTTCAGGCTGGTCATCTCCTCTCCGCTCTTGGTGGAGTGGTATCTCAATAACTCAGCAAGCTTGGTCTTGTTCTGGGAGTCTTCATGGATTCCGAGCTTAAGGTTCTTGGAGAATGACTCGTAGAACTTGTTGTAGTCCTCCTTGTTCTCAGCAATTTCCTGGAACATCTCGATGCACTTCTTAACCAAGTTCTTGCGGATGACCTTCAAGATCTTGTTCTGCTGCAACATTTCTCTTGAGATGTTAAGAGGAAGATCCTCAGAGTCAACAATACCCTTAACAAAGCCAAGGTATTCGGGCATCAACTCCTCACAATTATCCATGATAAAGACACGGCGCACATAGAGCTTGATGTTGTTGGGCTTCTTCCTGGTGTCAAACAGATCGAATGGAGCCCTCTTGGGAACAAAGAGGATGGCCTTGAACTCAAGCTGACCCTCAACTGAAAAGTGCTTCACAGAAAGATGCTCCTCCCAGTCATTGGTGAGACTCTTGTAGAATGCGGAGTACTCTTCCTTGGTGATCTCCTCTGGCTTCCTCATCCAGATAGGCTTCTGCTTGTTAACCAATGACCATTCATGAGAAATCTCCTGGATCTTCTTCTTTTTCTTCTCTTCCTTTTCTTTCTCTTCGTCGACTTCCTCAACCTTTCCCTCCTCTTCCTTCTTCTCTTCCTCATCCTCGTCATCAGAAATCTCCTTCTCTGTAGTCTTCTCAATCCAGAGTGAGATTGGGTAGCTGATGAACTCAGAGTGCTTCTTGATCAAATCCTTGAGGCGGCGCTCCTCCAGGTACTCAAGCTGGTCTTCCTTAAGGTGAAGGGTAATCTTTGTACCCCTGCCGAGAACCTCACCAGTGGTGTCCCTGGTCACAGTGAATGAGCCTCCAGCCTGCGACTCCCACACATACTGCTCATCGTCATTGTGCTTGGCGGTAACAATGACCTTATCGGCAACAAGGTATGCAGAGTAGAACCCAACACCAAACTGACCGATCATGCTAACATCAGCACCAGCAGATAAGGCTTCCATGAATTCCTTGGTGCCAGACCTAGCAATGGTACCGAGGTTGTTCACCAAATCTGACAATACAAATCAAAATTAAAACCATAAGTAAAAAATCCCAACTGGATTAAAATCAAATAACAAATTGAATAGCCGAATCAACGTACCAGCTTTGGTCATCCCAATACCACTGTCAATAATGGTCAATGTGTTGTTGGCTTTGTCAGGGATGATATGAATGAAGAGCTCCGGCTGACCATCAAGCTTGCTCTTGTCAGTCAAGCTCTCGAATCTGATCTTATCAAGGGCCTGCATACATAACATAAACAAGTAAGTACAACGAATACCAGTTCCATCCGTCTCAACAAAAGAAGACCGTGTACTACTTGCATAAATTTCGACATCGATTTCGAAAAGCATCTGCAACTTTACAATAAAAACAACTACTTGTGTAAAACTCAGTAACATATAAACACACCAAGATTAAATTTACATCCAATTGAAATTAATAATTGATCTTAAGGATGAACTAGATAATCCCATAATTAGTCAAAACCATACCGTTAATTAAAACCTGGACACCCTTAATCAGATAAGCTACAGTATTTCATCAATAACTGTCGATTAAGTAGAACAAAATCAACGATTACAGCGCAAAACTAGAAACTTTAACATCAAAATCAACATGTGCAGATCTCTAATCAAAGGCAAACAGAATTCATACAAGAAGCCCTACAAAAACACCGAAATCGAGAGCAAAGAGGATAAGAAGACTCACATCAGAGGCATTGCTGATGAGCTCACGGAGAAAGATCTCCTTGTTGCTGTAGAAGGTGTTGATGATCAAACTCAGAAGCTGGTTGATCTCGGCCTGGAAGGCAAACGTCTCAGCCTCTGCCATTGATCCTGCGCGCTAGGGTTTTCCGAAGATCTAGGTTTTAGAGACGACGTCGCAAAGGGAGCAGAGGAGGTAGTTACTTCTGAAAGAGTATGGGAGGCGAGGGCTTATATAGGGGACTTCATTAGGGTTTCTAGATCCTTCGATTGCTATTTTTTAACAGGAATTTTCGGGGTTGGTTCGCGTACGCGTGGGGAACACCTGCGCTGTGGTGCCACGTGTCGGTTTGGACTGTTCGAAGGAGAGAGTTTTGGGCCTTTGTGTTGATATTTTGCAACAAAAAGAAAAAAAAATTAGGCCCAATAAGAGAATCAAGGAGGAAAACGGGAAGTTTGAATCCGAAACTTACCAAGAAGTTTAGTATTGAATTGTCGAGCTTTTATATATCAAATTTGATTTTGTAAAATTTGAGATATTTTATTTTGAAAACAATTTTATTGTTGACATCAGTAATTTAGCTCGCTTGGGTTGTTGTCAGTTGTCATATAGTTTGGATTCAATCTTTGTTAAGTAAGCTCATTTGTCGTTGATTGTTAGTTATAGATATAACTGGAGTTTTAGATCTCGTGCTATTTTTATGTAATTTTTCTTTTTCTTTTGGACTTATGCCTCGTTGTCAATAAAATTACATCTTCGGATTTGAACATTTAACATTAACAAAGAAAATACCACTAAATTAAAATAATTTTCATTTGCAAATCAATCAACATGGATCATAAAGTATGGCTAATTTTCTTTTTGCCTTTTTGAAAGTAATGGTTGATATTTTTTACAATATTTTTTTTTTTTTGCGTTGACTTGGAGTCAAAACTTCACACTATACCGACTTCTTCTATGGCTCCAAAAGAACGGTCCATATTGTTTTCTATGGACATCAATACACAGTAGCAAAAAAAATCCTCCCTGTTCTCTCAAGCCTCCCACCTTTGAGGTCCCAGTTTATCCATCTATCTCCAAATTCTTCAACTAGCAAATGGAAGCTCTCCCATTCCAAACCCTACTTCAGCTCCCATCGGCTCCCAGAAAAACACTAAGGTAAATTCTTGTCATACTCGTATATTGGTTTCTGACGAGAAACTTACCTACAACGTGATGTCAATGCGGTGATATCTCAAGTCATTCACGTATTGTCATGTGTTTTTAATTTTTTTCATGTGATAGTGTATGATTGACTTGAAATACTGTTACTGTAACGCGTTGAAAATATGGTCATGGTACTTGTAGATGCTAGTTAGAAAACTAAATTTTATGTCACAGATATGATTGGAGTTTAATTAGCATCTAGAAGTTTGCAGTGTTCAAATTTTATGTCATCTGGCAATTGATATTTTGGTTTCAATTTTGTGTGCTTAAACCAGTTATGTTGAGAAAGATCAATCTAAGAACAATGTGGCTAAGAACTTGCATGAACAAGTTCACTCATCAACGGCGAAAAGATTACCAAGAAGGCTGTTTTTGCAGTACATTGGATTCTGCCCAGTTCTATTCTCAAATCCTGTTTTTGCTGCGCCAATGCCAGAGATGAAGGAGCCTGAAATCATTCGGTAAATTTTGTTTCTCGGTCTTTGGTTCTCGATTTGTACTTGAAATGTAGATCCAACTTGGGAGCCAAAGGTTATGTTGAGCTTCTTATTCGAAAATTATGTCTCATATGCGATTGTTGTTTGGAAATTGAAGCACTCAGGACCGTAAAGCTTCCCAGCGGCGTGAGGATTCAAGGTACATATTCTGCAGAATTCATGTAGTAAAACATCTGCTCAGGAATGGTTTTGGGGTATTTGGTATGTTGAGGCGTACAAGGCGAGCGGTTTCATTGATGTCTTCTTACCCATGAATAAGATGTTCAATGACCATTCAACCTTATCAATTTTCCGTATTTCGAAGCTCTGAATCCGCATTCTCTTTGGAAAAAATGTCATACATTGTCCAAGCAAATAGGAATGTTGAAACGCAATACATGGATTCGAGTCGTATTCTCTAAGATAAAATGTCATACTTGTCCAAGCAAATGGGAATGTTGCAGCTATGTAATTAGTTTTTTTCGTTCCTGAGGTCAACACTAATCCCGGGTTTCTTTTTCGTAGAGATTGTTGAAGGCCAAGGACCAGTAGCCCGTGAGGGAGATTTGGTTGAAATTAACTACGTTTGCAGGCGCACAAACGGATATTTTGTTCATAGGTAAATACTGAATTCTGTCAAAAATGCAACATCTTCTGTTTTGTTTTCGTACAAGTACATCATACTTCGGTCTTCAGTCTTCCAACTTTTTTGAATGGAAATGTGTTTTTTGTGTAGCACTGTTGATCAATTCAGTGGAGAAAGCGCACCGGTTATACTTCCTTTGGATGAAAAACAGGTTAATTCTTGTTTCAATGTAACATGTCGAGACTTCAAGCCTTCTGTTCGACGACCATGCCATTAACGTATTACGTGATTGCTTATTCAGATTATTGAAGGCTTGAAGGAGGTTCTGGTTGGCATGAAAACTGGAGGTACGTTCTAAGGCTATAATTTTAACAACTGCAATATCTACTTATATGCTGTTTTTTCACTCTTTCCGTTCAACATCGCGGTTTTAACCAGATATCCTCCCTTGATTCTCACTATCGCTTGCTTGAACTTGTAAAAAAGTACTCACATTCTGAAGGCTTGCATTTCAGGAAAGAGGAGAGCTCTGATACCTCCTTACGTGGGATACACAAACGAGAACTTAAAACCAATCCCGGAAGAGGTAAAGCTTATCTGTCATGATTCATTTCCCCAACTTTGTTGTTGAGTGGATTCTTTTCGCTCTCGTTTTAGGCGCATCATTCGTTTATAAACATGTGGTTGTGGCCTGTTGGTTGCAGTTTGGCCCTCGGCGTAGCCTCTTGTCGCATGTAAACGAGCCTCTGATATTCGAGGTGCAGCTCTTGAAAGTACTATGAGTTTTTTCACCAGAAGGATTTAGTTATTGGGACGCACATTTGATCCCGAAAATGCACTGAACACACATCATTTTTCATGATCTTACCAGATTAATGCAGATAATGTACTTTCATTGTGCACATTCTTGTATTTATGAACTGATTCTAGATGGATTACTGCAATATTTTCATATGCTGCTAGAGATTCTCCGTCGCCCTTCGCTCATGTTAGCTGTTGATGTATGTTGGATTCGCAGTGAGACTCACATGTATCAACGAACGTTGAGTACGAAAGCAATGATGCTAAGCAACCTTAACAAAAGGGTTGTACATGAAAAACCAGATTTTGGGCTTTAAGTTGTTTGCAGAAAGCTTTAATTTATATCATTTATCCATTCAAGGCGTGAATATCACTTTCTCATGTTAAACACGAAGTTTTGAAATCATATCAGTTTGTGTCTTATGACTATTTGATATCCTCCGTTAATTGAAGACGTGGCATGCTAGGAACTCATTTATAGGCCGATGTCGGACCCACAATCGCACCGCAGGGACTAAAAACGGCCCTCTTCTCAATTGCTGCTCTGTATCCCAACTGGACTTCTAACTACACAGTTCGGTCCCAATAGTGCATACGTGACTTCCACATTAGTCTCCAAATGTCCAAAATGAAACTCTACAACTATCACGTTGTCAATTTATGAACTAAAGGAAACGGAAGTTAATACAATTTCAAAGCTTTTAATACAAGCAAAGTGATGCGTTTTCAAAACTTCTGATGCAAGTAAATTGATACGATTTCAAAACTTCAAATACAAGCAAAAACACCTCCCTAGCCCAAGGAGAAGAAAAGCCCAAATAATAACCACCCGGCCCAAAAAATTAAAAAATTGAAATTAAAACCAATACCAGCTGCCAAACCTTTTGCTTAATTCGTAAGCCGCTACGGCGACAAATATTCCGGGTAACCACCACGCCGCCATTTTTCTATCAACCATAAAAAAAAAAAAAAAAAAAAAAACGTTTCGACAAAGAAACTCGCAAGCCAAAAAGAAACGTGCTTTCCTTTCCATTCTCCAATTTTAAATTCTCCGAAAGCACAAAGCCAGCGACTTTCCCGATTCCACGGCGAAGCTTCTTCACGATGCAGAAGATGGCGCAGGAATGGTTTTCGCAGACCGGCAGCGGCGTCGACGACTCGCAGAAGCCGTCGTCGTCTTCTTTGCTGGCCGATTGGAACTCCTACGCCGCTTCACAATCCACTGACGAGAGCTCCTCTTTGGGACTCGGATTCGATCTCGAATCTGCGGTGCGCTCTGCTAACGACACAGTTTCCGGCACTTTCAGCGTGTAAGTTCGTATCTGATCTTAGTTTCCTGCCTAATTAACTCAGTTTTTTAGTTACTGTAGAGTTATTTGTGGGCGATTTTGGCTGTGGGTTTCTGATTTTGTGTGTGTGTTTAAGTGAATCTGATCATTGTGTTTTTTATTTTGTGCATATTTAGCTGAACTAGATCATGGGTTTTTGAATTTGTGTATAAATAAGTGAATCTGATATTGGATTAATGATATTTGTGTATAGTATGCTGGGATGGTAATGTTTGAGTGCATGTTTAGGTGAATCTGATATGGAGATTTCGGTTTTTAGGGGTTTAGGAGCTGGTGGATTTGTAGAATAAGCTGATATCTCGACCCGTTTCGTCAAATTTGTGTTAGGGATTGTGTACATGATAGATTTTGATGATGGGTATTTGATTTCTGTGCTTGGATCTGGGATTAGTAATTTAGTATTTGATTGAGTGCATGATGCTTATGTTGCTTCATATTCTGATTTGGGGTCTATGGATTTCCTTCTGACTGTATGATTGGACTGTAGTTAAATGAAGAGCTGCCCAGCTGTATGAGTTACAGGACTTGTGGAGGGTCCTGTCCGAGGTGCTTAAGAAATGGGATGTTAGCTCAAAGTGGAGTGAATTTAAGTTAGTAGATGTGTAAACTGAATAGTTGTGCTGCTGCATCTTTGTATGATTAGAAAGAAGCTGCGAAATGCACACTGGATTTTGAGTGGTAGATCTAAGGTTCTTAATTTTCACAATTCACAAATCAAACTAAGCAAGACTCAAAACTAACAGTTCTTTCAATAGTTTTGTTGTTCCTTCATGATGGGCAGAAAGGTTATCCTACTAATGCAGCATATAGACACAAATCAGGAGTTAGGGAGAGAAGGGGGGGAGTGGGTGGCGGTGCACACAAATTTTCATTCTGTTGTTCTATGGGAAGGTTGTTCTGATTGTAAGCATCAAATTGGTTATTCATTTTTAAACGTAAATTCACTCCCTTTCTTTGCCTGAAACTATCACTCACTCGGTACCTTAGTTTTGTATAGTTTACCTACACCTGCCGAATGGACAAGTTTAGTATGAAAGTTAATACCGATTTGTTTTCTTGGTTTTTATTTTATCTCAGCATTTCTGTAGCCTCTGTTTGATTTTCGGTTCCTGTTTAGGGTTTCAAAAGGAGTGAGAGATATACCTGGGAGCCTCCAGTCTGCTACTAGTAATGTCCCTTCAGGAAAAGCTCTCATGTATTTTGGCTTGTTTCTAGCCACTGGGGTGTTCTTTGTTTTTATCGCATTTACCATGTTCCTTCCTGTCATGGTGTTGATGCCTCAGAAGTTTGCTATCTGCTTTACACTTGGGTGTGCCTTTATTATCGCATCATTCTTTGCACTCAAGGGTCCAAAGAATCAGCTTGCTCACATGTCTTCAAAAGAGGTAACTCGATGGCATATGTACCTATTCATTTATCTCTGTAACCTAGCCCACACCTAATTTACTTGTCTGATGATGTACTTGTTTTTTTTTTTCCACGATGTATGCAGAGACTTCCGTTTACCGTTGGATTTTTAGGCAGTATGGTGGGTACCATATATGTATCCATGGTACTTCACAGTTACATCCTCTCTGTTTTCTTCTCTGTGTTACAGGTATCAATTGTTTTCCTACCTTAAGATTTACTATTTGATTCTTTCTCCATGTGGCTGATGATTCTGCTTTTTAAATCTGTTTCGATATATCTACTTGCCAGGATATCTGTTTTTAACTATGTTGATTCATAAAGATTGTTAATTATCCAATCAGACACTGAACTTGTGTTCAAACATCAAATGAAAACTTTCAGGTTCTGGCACTTGCATACTATGCTGTTTCATACTTTCCTGGTGGATCTGCGGGTTTGAAGTTCCTCTCTTCTGCCCTTACATCTTCAGTAATGCGATGTTTTGGGAGGTGACTCTGACCTATTTGTTGCCTTGTATATTTCTTACTTACGATTTTTGGTCAGTCTAGTTGAACTTGTGAACAGCCTGAGACATATTTCTGAGTGGCATCTATCATGTTTAAAATCTTGGGAGTTTAATTCTTGTTCACTTTCTCGCACCTCTATTTGCCAAGTTTTTATTTAGTCGTAGTAAACATCAATTTTAGATCAAATGGCAGAGAAAACTGAGATGCTTTTTCCGCAAGGTATGAAATATCTTGATGGCTCGCGATTGGCGACAAGAAGGTAAATGAAAACCGAACTAATCTTATGTGGTTAAGCCTTGTGGGGAGGATTTAGGTGTATGCTGAATGATGAAATTATAACTGAGAAAACAGGCTGATAGTTATTGTCAGTATGTCGCAATAAGCAGCGTTGAATGTGTGAGATTGAAGATCAATCTGCTATTGTTTTGTTTAGTTGTCTTGGCTAGGCTCTTGGCTTTATAACTGCATCCTGAAGTTCGACATCTGAATTTTTTTAGCAAGAGATACTCCTGGATTCATACAGCTCACCCCACTTAGTCGGAAAATGCTTTGTTGTTGTTGTGGTAGAGACTCCTGGCCTATTGCCTTTTCAGAACCATAATTTTTCTCAGATATCAGTGCTAGAAGACTGGATTATAATAGGATTGGACTAGTTAAACCACAATTGGCAGTCTGGTTGACAAAACTGACGTTTTAAACTACTCTAATTTATGGAGAGGGCGATCAGATCGGTGCAAACCAAACATTGTTTTAGGGAACTAACTTGACCTACATCGACCAATATGAATATGTCGAGTATAATTGGAGAGTTTTGCTGTGAATGTTCATGACCCAGAAACAAACTTCTTATAAAGTTACACGTCTATGTTGGGTCACTTAAGTTTGAATCTACGTCCCGCAGGTAGAGTACTAGAGTACTACGTGACATCACAATTTTTTTCTTTGGGTTTTAAGGTTATGTTTTAAGCCCAAATTGAGATTCTTGATTCAACCCAATTAATTTGCGATTTGTGTTCATCCATTTATCGGGTAAGGATCCTTTCTAGATCTGTGTTCTACGAATCTTGGAGGACAAGTTATCTTGGTCGTTTGATTCAAATCTTGCGGTCAAAAATCTTTCTTTTCCTTCCTCTTCCTTTGGTGCAGATTTCTCTTCCTCTTCCTCTTGGAAATCGAAGACGGAGAAGAACTCTTGGGTTTCACACACTTGGAATTCATTGACGCCTTTGACGCTGACTCAGAGGAAAACCAACCACCATCGCTCTGACTCCTAACAAACGAATAAAGACGGGCTTGCTAGTGGCTGATCTGATCCCCACCCACCGTCATCGTCGGCGGTAGTGAGAGGAAGACGGGCCTACCGGTCGTGAGGGCGAGGATTACAAGCTTCGGCTGATTGCAAGAAGAAAGGATCCTTACCCAAGGATCCAGAGTGAATTAATCCGGAGAGGACTCTTACCCCAATAATCCATTACATTTAGAAATCCTTGAAACGTCGTTTTCTCATGCATTCGAGTGATAATATACACATTGATAGCATTCCTCACTGCATCTCTTACAAATTGGAGTTAATAATAACGTAGAGTTTTATTCCCAAATTGATTCATCAGATGATGTTTTGTACATATTTGATTTGAAGAAATTATAGATTTACACCTTGTATGGAATTTACATACAACCAGGGCTAGCCCTGAGAATTTGAGGGCTATAGGCAAGCCTTCGAATTGGTATGTAGAACAAAAAAAGGTATTCGCTAAATACTGAAAAAATTTATTCCTACATCAAATATCATTAAAAATTAATATCAAATGAAGAAAGATATATAAATATTACACTTTTCACGTTTTTAGACACAAATGTACTAATTAAGTGTTTTTTTATTTGTCGAAAATACTAATTAAGTTTACATTACATAATCCAATTTTTCAACCAATTCTTTTCAATTGATTAACTAACCAATTCAATCTTTCTTGTGACATGGTTGATCGAAGATAAGAGATATTTGGTCTTCATGACTTGCATCTGAAGTGCAATCAAGTATCACTGAAAAACATTTTGCTTCTTTGGTTCTTCCCATGATTGTACTTTTGACCTCACTTGCCAACAATTGTATTTAATCTTGTGACCAAGATAATGGTAATGGGTCTCATGTGTATCAATTCATCGAATGTGCTCTTGCATTATAGGATCAAACTCAGCAATCACTTCAATTACATTTAGAAAAATTCCATTATTCTCTTCATATAGCTTCTCATTGTCTCCACAATTTCAATTACATCTAATGTAATGTATTGGAGAAAAAAGACTATCTGAATTATCTTTAGGGAATATGACATCATAAACTCTTTTAGGATCTCTTTCCACTAACATATCTCTAAGATTATGACTAGTCTTATCCCAATTCCTTGGATCATCAATATTTAAAGGAAAAACAATTTCTCCACTTAAATCTTCAATGTGAACATCCTGAGACATTTCTCACTATCTTCCCATTATGATTATTTTCCACAATTTCATTATCTTCTCCATTCTCATTAGCTTGAACATGTTCCTTAATGTTAGTCTCAATCAGATGGTCATCTTCTGGCTCTCCATTAACATTGTCAGATATAGGCTCATCTTGTTCCTCATTCACTATACTGTCAACTTTTTTTTTGAAATACTTACTAAGAGATCCAACTTGAGATTTTATTAATACTTCTTCCTTTTCTTTATTTTTTCTCATTTGAGACCTAGAGAGATACTTTATGTTTGTGTTAGTAAGCTTACTATTTCTAATAAGAGGCATGATAATTAACTCATTTTCAATCAGGAAATCACAACGCAACAATCAAGATTCAACTCAATATTAAGTCGATAAAGTAAAAAAGAATGATAAAACTTGATCGACAAATACAAGAAATTCTATTATACTTTTCCAAAATTCAGCATCACAAATTAACAATTCCCAAATATACCTACATAAAACCAAGCAACAAACACAATTATAATATCAAACCCGTGGAGCAAAAAATAATCCACAAAACCATTGGTCCATTACCATACCAATGAAAAAAACTATAAAAAAGATAAAATTTTCTCTTTGATTACCTTATAGTTAATTTCATAGTTTATATCACCTTAAATCGCGATCTAGAAGATTTTGTGAGATTTAAATTCCACCTCCAATAGAATAGAGAGATTGAAATTTGAAAGAAGAGAGAATTGCAAGAGACTTAGGGTTTATATGTTGGCCAGGAGGCAAAATATTGGATGCGTGCTGTTTTGTGTTGGTTGTGATTTTTTTTTTTTGGGTGTATTTTCCTAATTGTTATTGGAGATTTGAAAGGCTAAAAATATAAATATAAAATTGTTACTAGATTAGGCTTCCTAATTATATTTGGATGTGCTTCTTTGAGGGAGTCTTCAACGCCGGGATTTTTAGTTATATTGACTTAATTTAAAAAATAAATGCTTACTTCATATTTTTAACCTGAAGCAATTAAGCAAAAGCCACTCGTTTTCCACTACATCGGCAGGTTTTTGTGTCATTTACTTTAGTTTTGAGATGTGTTATCCACACACCCATTTTTACTTCTCATACACCATTTATTAATTTCTGTCTATTGATATTCTTTAATTCATCCGATCTGACGACCAAAAATTAAAAAGATATGTGAGAAGTAAAAAATAGTGTGTGGATATCACATCCCTTAGTTTTATAGTATTTATATACCAAAAGATATATAAAAAATATGTGGGGCCAAAATCTAGGGCACTTTACTCGACTACTCTTAAAGCCGGTCCTGCATACAACGCTAAGGTTAAGTGTAGAATTACACCTCTACAAGAACTGTATACGAACTTTGTCAAACTAAATATCACTCTACTTAAGCTTGACTTGTTTAATATTCGAACTCAGATTGAAAGGCTTCTATTTCAATCTATTTACAATATGTGGTCCACTGATGTAACAAAAATTTGCAATTTGGTGACATATATTTTAATAATAAAATATATAACACATAAATAATCCAACACTAAAAAATTCAGACATAATACGCTAAGATAGTCACATAAATCTTTTTTCTTCATGTAGCTTCTTCAGAAACATAAGAAGATGGTGAAACATAATATCAATCTCCGTCTTAAAATATTCAAATTGAAATATATTCAATCTGATCTTAGAAAAAAAATTAGTAAACATAATTCTCCAAAAGCATAAACTTAAACATGATCTTCCATTCCAAGCAAACTTCTTTAATAGAATCCAGTTTGAGTTGTTTTCGTGAAAAAAGCAAGATCTAGCTTCTTGTTCTTATCTAGCCGAACATTGACATGTTTCTTTTACAATTGAGCTTTTGACAAGCCAAACACGAGTCGAACTCGAATTTGGTCAATAATATTGTGCAGTGACTAGGCACTCACGTGGACAATAACTAGGCGTCACGTGTCATAGGGGGTCGGGGTTGAGGTAGGGGACATCCCAAAAACTTTTTTTTAATTTTTAATTTTTAATTTGTTTTTTAATTTTTTTAATATTTATGTAGGCCCCTATGACACGTGGTGCCTAGTCACCATCCACATGAGCGCCACGTCACTAGTTAACGGCTGATTTAACAGCAAACTTAACGGATGTATGAAAGTGTCCCAAAATTATGACTTTATATACCACTTTAGGATGAAAAAAAATTCATATATTAAATGTTAAAAATCAATAAACTTCAAGGTAGTAAACTGAGATTAATCCCAAATTTTAAAGATACTAAAAACACTACGCGTTGGGTCCCCCGGCACACAAATTTTGACCGTTTAGGGTTGGTTAGGATTGCTACAAGTGGTGCTTTAGGTAAAGAAGCAAGTTTAATAAACAATTATCCGCCTCACACCAATTATCCTCTTTTTATGTAAATTAAAACGATAATAAAATGGTTTAAAATTCGTGTTCAAACACCCAAATCTAGGAATCAGGAAGATGATGACAGAAAATTGTAACTTGGGGACAAGGATTTGACCTTTGATATGGAGCTTATGCAAGAAGATGCAATGTATGTGTTAAAAGCCTTTGTTTTTTGTATTGAAAAAAAATTATTGAGAAACGAGAAGGGCCATCTTCTCCACTAAGTAAACACAAAGCTAAAAACAA